CTAGGATCTCTTCAACACCCCAGACCCAAGGTTGTGGCTCAAAATAGAATTCAGGAGCTTAATTACACTTTCCCCCTGCTGGAGCAAGCCTCAGAGCAGATTGTGGTTCTGCTAAGGCATCTGTCCCTAGGGCCACCTTACCCCTTTCATCTGCCCACTACTCACTACTCACAATTCCCTCTCCCACTCTTCTCAAAGTTGGTTGTCTGTCTTGTTCAGGTTTGTTTGCAGATAAGATAAGTGTATCTTGGACTCCTTGCCTACTTAGAATCCTCTTATGAATATATTAATTCATCACAAGGTGTTTCATCTTTAATACCTAGTTGTTCTTTAATGGGAGGGTCATCCAGGGAACTTAATACGGTATAAGGCCTAGTGTGAAAGTTAATCCTAGATCTCTTAAAACACGTATTGGAAACTATCCAAACTATCATCTTCTTTTACAATATTCTGATAATCAAAACATGGTCATTCACAACACCCACAACTAGAAAGGAACCATTATGGACTGAGTCCTGTTCCTTCAAAATTCATTTATTGAAGTCCTAATACCCAGCACAGCACAGAATGTGACTATATTTGGAAATGAGACACCTAAAGAAGTAATTAAGGTTAAACAGGGTCACAAGAGCGGGGCATAATCCCACATGACTGTTATGAAAGAAAAAAAAAACAATAGAAATGCCTGTGCCGAGAAAAAAGACCCTGCAAGGACACAGTGACAGGGTGATCACCTGCAAGCCAAGGAGGGAAACCTATGAATACCTAGATCTTGGACTTCCAGCCTTTAGAACTGTGAGAAATTGCTGATGTTTAAACCCCTCTGTCTGTAGTATTTTGTTATGAGCCCTAGCAAACTAACACAAGAGCTTATGCAGAATTCCAAATGTTTTCCTCCTTCCCAGAATGACCCATTCCTCTCTTATTCATAGGATATTTAACCCATCCTTCAAGGCCGATTCAAATGACATCTCTTCTGGGCAACATTTTGGCATATTTCTATTATACTACTTTTTCATTGTGTCAAGATCTACCTCTAATAGTAGATTGTGAATTCAGAAAAGAAACTATATAAAGTCCATCTTTGAATTCCTAATAACTAGCTTCATCCTTGTCGAAAGAATAGATGAAAGTAAGAATTCAGGAGCAGAGGAACAAGCCCCAGGCAAATGTCCCCTTAAGCTGCTGTGCTCTCTGCTGCCCTCTGGCGACCGTTTATTCCCCATCACTGCGTCTAAGGCAAGACGTGGAAATGCTCTTGGCAACATCCTAGGGTTTCCTTCAGATCATTCATTTTCGGACTCATAGAAAACTTCCTCCGACTGTGTTGGTATTGCCAGGATCTTTTACGCTTACTTCATCATCCTTCAATCTCCTGGTCGTTCTCATTCGTTGAGAACCTTTTTCCCAAGATCACCATCCTCCCTAACATGACTTCCAGGCTCAGGAAGACCATCCTTCTCAAACATGCAGACTCAACGTTCCTTGCTCAAGCCTAACACATTATCTGGAACCTACTTCAGGAGATTATTATTTGGCCACAACCAGACTTAATCATCAAAAACATCTAACTACCTAAGCTCTGTAGTGCTCTCTCCCAAGCGATGTCTGCCTGCACCTAATCCTCGGCACCTGTGACTATGTAATTTTACTTGGCTAAAACTGTAGATTTGATTAAGTTAAAGATATTGAGATGTGAAGATTACACTGGATTGTACAGGAGAACCCAGTATAATCATAAAGGAACTTTTAGGTCAGGGACAGGAGCATCAGGGTCAGAGGAAGAGATGTGACAACAGAGGTCAGTGTAATGTGGGGACATAAGCCAAAGGTAGCCTCCAGAAGCTGGAAAGAACAAGAAAACAGATTTTCCCTTCAGAAGAGGCATGTCTCTGACAACTCATTCCAGATTTCCAGAACTGTAAGAGAATAAATTTAGGTGGCTGTAAGTCACTAGTTGGTGGCAATTTGGTAGAGCAGCCAGATGAAGCTAACATAGGAGCCAACGGCCTAATCTCCAACCATAACCTTTGTTCTTCTGTCTTGTTCACTCCACTTCCAGATCACTAAACCCTCTTTTCACAGTTTGTCATCTTTCTCCTGGTTTTATTTCCTTTTTTGTGACACCTAGACACCATGATTTTCAATTTTAGCATCTTTCCTTTGGGGATGTCAACATTCTAACCACTTACTTCTCTTCATCTACATTGATACTCACAACATGGTAATTTACCAGTCTCCTGCTTGTATCTTTCCTATATTGAGGACACTAAATATCTCAGGAGAAAACAACTCAATAATGTATATTGCACCACTACAAAAGCATGACCTCTAATCTCAGCCTGCCCTCAATCTTTCTTTTTCCCTCACATAACCTTTATTAGCAAATAATTCTGCACCATCACCTTTTCTCCACTCACCTGATCCATCACTGAAACTCTCTTCATTGGTTACTCTGTCTTCTATTTTCAAGAGAAAATTAATGTGTGGCATGGACTGATTCCAGCTTGGCCTCTTGTCACACTGCCATTTTCTCTCATTGTCCCTGACTGTTCTCACATGTATGCTATACCCACCCTTTGCCTCTGCACTCTCTACCCTACATTTTCCTAAAATACACTTACTTCTCTTGCATTTCCCAACTTATGGGTAAACTTTCTGTGAACTATTCAATTCCCTGGTTTACCATCCCTCCTTTGAGTTCCCACTTTATTGTACATTCTTCTATTGGCAACTATAGTAGCACACCACATAAAACATGAGATCATGCTTAATTACATTTCTCTATTTGTCTCTCTTTTAACTAGCCTGAGAGTCCCTTGAGATGAATAACTGTGTCTTATTTATCTTATTATTCCTACCAATCTGGGATTATGCTGTTAATGTTTTAAGAAATGATAAGAGAAGGAGGGACTCTGCAAGAAACTGAGCAGTGTGGCCAGACAGACAGGTTTCCCCTGACACACAGACACACACACACACACACGCACACCACTGAACATCAGTCCTGACTCACCTCCACCCAGTGATTAATCTGTTTGGAGACTCAGAACTGTCCCAGACCCCTGGGCAGAAACTCAGACCTGTCCAAATGACAAGTGCATTGGCATGTCCATCAAATTCGTTTCAGAATCAGGAAGACACTCTTGGATACTTCAGTGCCCCAGACCATCTGGTCAGGTGGCATAGTGCCCACTTACAAGGTCAGTTCCTTATTGCCCTGAACATTCCAGATCATGCTGCAGAGTAAACTTTCTCTCTGAGCCGCCATGCAATTTTTACAGCAGCAGCATCATTAAGCCCTTCATCATTCACTTTTTTTATTTTAATCCTCAACTAGGTGGCAGGGATATTTCTCCAGGTCATCACTGACATCATCTAATTGTTCCTGAGAACAATGGAAGGGTCTGGAAGGGGAAAGAGAGTCAGTGTTCACTTCTCATTCCTTTTCCACAGGAAGGAGAGTGGCACTGAAGTGGATTATACTGTGGAATGTGGACCAACATTCTGGGATTTAAGGGAAATTCCCAATCAGCTTAATGGAGACCTCCATCCAAAGTTGTGCCATTTGCGTTAGAAGTGGTTAGCTATAAACCATGCCTCACATATAAATGATGGTTGTATTAAAAAGAATTTTTGCACCAACACTAGAAATGGAAATGAGAGAACAAGCTGAAATATGCTTCTTGTTGGCACAGTTTTTATTGGAATTGGCCAGAAGATTTTCCTTTACATCTAGAAAGTAAATTCTGTAATGACAAAAGGCTGCTAACAACATAGAGAATGCTGGAGATGGGCAACCATACCAGTTTTATGCAAATGATATATACTCTATGCCAAAATAAAAAGGATAGCCACATTACAGACAGCATTCCGAAGGGCCAAGGTGTGGAAGGAAATTGGCTTCACACCAAATGAACATAAAAATTTCTAGATTATCAAATATTTATCTTCCTATAGGTAATTCTATTTATGTAGACATCTAAGTGTATTAAAACAAAAAATAGAGCATATTCCAAACCAACTATATTAGAGAATTAATTAAAAGTATATATCTCTCTCTCTCTGCCTTTTTCTCCTATGTATTTGGGAGGTGAGAGGAAAAAGGAGATGGAGGTGGATAGAAAGAAATCCTCATCCCTGATGATTCAGCATCAAAGTACTTTCTCTGTTAAATTCTCCTTGACTTTTGAAACCCACCATGATCTTTCCTTCCTCTGAATACCTGTAATATTTTGCAAGGTACCATATCACATACTGGTGTGTATAATTAAATATCTATGTTCAAAGTAGTCATTTACTCAATTAGCCACAAGGGTCTTGAGGACAAGGATCATTTGCATTTCCCTAAACTACCTATCATAGCACCTAAACATAGCAAATGCTCAAAATATATAACTGTTTGAGCAGTAACATCAGCAAATAACCCCAAATCACAAATTTGATTTCATAATGCAGTATATAGAATTAAAAGAATAAATTTGTCCCTGTATCATATTTTATGAGTTGTATTTTTCAATTATTGAGAACAAGTGAGGTAGGCTGTGAATTAGGGTTGCAGTGGTAATGGGAGTGGTTCGGAAGGAAGGGGGTGAACTTTTTTAATCCAAGAGGCCCATGAAATATGACCCCATGAGATTAAAATAAGCAGGATTTAAAATAAGCGGGATCAAGAATGTGCATAAGTATAAGGGGTGTTTGCAAACAAGATTGAAAAAACTGGAGCTGCAACTCGCCTTAAAGACGCTAGAAATCTGAGCGTGCGAGTCACTGCCTCATGGCCACAGTGGTTTAGTGACACATGGAATTTTTGTCCTCTCTTGGGGAGCACAAGTTTTGCACACTCTCAGGTGTGGAGACCGACCGTCACAACGGCTTCTTACCACCAGGGGGCGCCTTGCAGAGCCGCTTCTCCCGGCGCTTGCAGCCGCTCTCCCAGCATGCCTCGCTCCTGCCCGCCACGACCCGGAAGTTGTCGCCGGCTGCTGGCCGGCCGGCAGCCCTGGCACAGTCGGCGCTGCGGAACGCAATCGCCCTAGCCGCCCTAGCCTGCGGTGGCTGCGGGCTGAGGCTGTCGGCGGGAACCCCAGTGAGTCCACTCCAGGCGGGGTCTCAGACTGGACGCGGGGCCCCTGGCGACGTGTGACCCGCCCCCGGCCGGCCGCTGCACCGGCGTTTGTAAGTGTGTGTGGGACCCAGCCGGCCCTGCACCGCCCTCTCTGAGGCTGCAGAGAGGCGCTCCGCCTGGGGCACTATGAAGGCCGCAGAGCTTTCCTCGGAAACTGCATCTCCCCTGGAAGCGGCTAGTTGGACTGTTCTGTTGACAGTAGTGAGGGGGAGAAGCAGAGCTGCAGCTGTCGCTTTGCAGCGCCTGTAGGACTTCAAGGTCCCGAAGCCCCTGCCGGTTCTCTGTAGAGAACCCCAGTTTTCTTGTATCTGGAACACAGTACCTGCCTCCTTTCCTGATTCTTAAGTAAAATAGAGGGCTGTCATCTGGGGGAAGCTACCTGAGCCGTTCAGCCATGGAGGCCGACACAGTGTCCCCTATCCAGGAGACCTCTGCCCAGTCTTTATGTAATTTAAGTAATCTGTGGGGTAGCCGGAAGCTGACGATTGTGGGGATCTTACTTGGTTGGCTTCTAGTTATCCACCTTCTGGTTAACGTGTGGCTTCTGTGCCTTCTCTCAGCGTTGCTAGTGGTGCTGGGAGGATGGCTAGGCTCCAGCTCCATTTTGGGGCTTTCAGGTCGACTACACCTGGAACGGTTCATCCCAGTGGCCACCTGCCCTCCATGCCCTGAGGCAGAAAGGCAGTTGGAGCAGGAGATCAACAGCACCATCCAGATGATTATTCGAGATTTTGTGTTATCCTGGTATCGTTCAGTGAGCCAGGAGCCAGCTTTTAAGGAAGAGATGGAGGCGGCCATGAAAGGGTTGGTGCAGGAACTTCGGAGGAGGATGGGTATGGTGAACAGTCGTGCTCTTGCCCAGAGGGTTATGACTCTCTGTGGTTGTCACCTGCAGAGCTACATTCAGGCAAAGGAGACCTTTGCAGAGAAGCAGAGTGGTCCAGTCCAGCCTTCCCAGCTCTGGGAGGCTTATTGCCAGGTTACTGCCCCACATCCTGCTATGCACAATCCTAGTACAGAAGTCACCTATACCCGTGGCATTGTGAATTTGTTACTTCAAGGGCTGGTGCCCAAGCCCCACTTGGAGACTAGAACTGGACGCCATGTGGTGGTTGAACTCATTACTTGCAATGTAATCTTACCACTGATCAGCAAGCTGTCAGATCCTGACTGGATTCACCTTTTACTTGTGGGTATCTTTTCCAAGGCCAGAAATGATTCAGCAAAAATAGATAAATCACTCTTCCCACCCAGTTCCTTGGAACAGCACTCAGTGCCCACATCTCTACCACTGATTGTTGAGGTGGAAAGTCTGCCAGAACGAAGAGCCCCTTCTCCAATAGAAGCCTCTGTGCTCCTAAACTGTAGTGAGCCAGGCCCCACCCCAGAGGTTGAAGAAGGCCATGAAGCTGTAGAGGCAGATATGGCTGGGATACTTGAAGAAAGAAAAGTAGGAAACAACTCATCTCATTTCCTACAGCCAGATATTCGAGGCCCCCTGTTCTTATGTGAAGACTCAGAACTGGAGTCTCCACTGTCTGAACTGAGCAAAGAAACTATCATGCTCATGACCCCAGGCAACTTCCTCTCTGACCGGATCCAGGATGCCCTATGTGCCTTAGAAGATTCCCAGGCTCTGGAACAAAAGGAAGGTGAGGGATCCGAGGGCAATGAAGGAGCAGAGACTGAGGAGGGGTCAGGGACAGAAACAGGCCTGCTGGTCTCCATGCTGAACTCCTGCCCAGAGATCCAAATTGACACAGCAGACAAGGAGGTAGAGCAAGGAGATGACACCTCTCTTACAGCTTTGTTGGAGGAGCCAAAAAAGATTCAGCCCCTGCGACCCTCGTGCTTAGATAATAAGGATCTCATCAATGATATGAGCTCCCTTGATCCAACTCTGCCACCAGTTCCACTTTCTTCCTCTCCACCTGGTCCTCTCAGCTCAACCACTTTCAGCTTTGAGCCCCTGAGCAGTCCAGATGGCCCAGTTGTCATCCAGAACCTTCGTATCACTGGTACCATTACTGCCCGAGAGCACAGTGGCACTGGATTTCACCCGTATACACTCTACACTGTAAAGGTAACAGAATTCAAGCTACAGGTACCCACCACGGGCTGGGAATGTAATCAGAAATCAGAGTCAGCAAATGTAATGTTCTCTCAGGAGATGACTTTTAGTTTGCTATGTTTAATTCAACAAACATCTGTATGTGAATGGCCTGATTCAAATGGCTAATTTGTAAGGCAGAGTAGGCTCTTACCCTATTCCTATACAAATAATCTAGAAACTCAGGGTTTTACCCTAGTTTCCAATCTTGGCTGTACCTCAGAATCACTTGGGCTGCTTTTTAAATACACTGATTCTGATAGACCCTGACAAATTCTGAAGGAGAATGTCCAAAGTAAAGTCCAGGGTTCTATATATTTTAAAAATAAGACTTTCCAGGCAACGTGAAGACACCTTGACCTCAAGCTATTTGGAAGGAATCAGCTGCTCTAAGCAGCTTCCTTTATAGTTTCCAAGCTGTGCTTAAATGTCTTCAGGAATAAAAAAATTCCTATCTTCTGAGGTAAATACAGGTAAATAATCTGCCTTCCAAAAACAAAGTTCAAATGATACTGGTATTTTTTAAGAAGAATGTAGCAGGAAGAAGTTTGGAAAAAGAATTCCTGGGCAAGACCCTATCTGTTGTATTTTACTTGCTTTTTCCTTGCTTTTCTCATTGAGTCCAAAAACTTCCATAAGGCATGTACCTGGATACTGCTAACACTCTCATCCTCAAAATCCCAGTCCTGTTAATAGGAAAAGGGCCTTCCCTAATCTGCTGAACTCAGTTGCATCATAACAGCATTTTGAAAATTAACAAGACATTTTGAAGTTAAGACAACAGAATCATAAACATGTAAGTACATATATTTATACATACACACAAACATTCCTTATAAAATAGACAAGTTTTACAAGTATAGACATCTGTCATGTAATCATAACTCTGGCTAGTCTCAAAGGACAGGTGTAAACATTTTGCCTGCCTTTTTGTTCTAATTCCATATGTCCCAGTGACATGCACCTTTCTCACAAATAGGCGTCAGCTTCTGATTCTTCCATCTTCTATTTGTGATATATTCTAACACTGATATTAACAATTATTTTTCCTCTTCATTAGCAGAAAATTTAATGGAGAGAATTATTAAGTCATAATCTTTCTCCCACTTAACTGTTTTTGTTGTTGCTAAATTTTGACACCAGTTACTACCTACTTCAAGTAGACACTGAAAAAAGGGTAAGGTGGAAAATGAGCAAAAAAATAATATAGTCAATTATGTATAGTTTGAGAGTGGCCTTAGATTTTCAAAAGGACATAATGTAACTATGATTTTAACTTGATTTCAAAGTTATTTTACTTTCTGATTGTAAAACAGTTTTAGTTTGTATAATAGAAGTGAACACATCAGTATTGAATATTGTCCTGAATATTCCACAGAAAGATTACAACTCCTAGTTTCTCTGAGAGCCCTCCCTTGAATTCTACCTGTGTCTTTATTTCTGAGTACTGGTCTCAGGAACTTATTTGTTCTCTTCAATTCATAGTGAATACCCCTGCTTCTCTAGCTATAAAAAAGTTTAAAATACCACCAAGTCCTACCAATGGGATAGTTTTTCCTATCACTTGCCACAATATAGTAACGTACCAAACAATAATAACCTACTCCTAATTAGTCTGTTCCTAATAAGAGCAAGCATAACAGTTCCTTGTATCTTAACTACTCTGTCAGAGACAAAGTTTTCTTCTGTATTGAGTCATAGATTTCATGTTGTTCACGGTGCTCACTTTTCTGGGAACATACAAGAACTAGTCATCATTCCACATACAAGCCCTCCAAGCATTCAAAGGCAACAGACTTTAACAACATCTCCAGTCATCACTTGACTTCTAATACATATGTCATGTGCTTAGGGGAAAAAAAACAAAAACAAACTTAACCCCTAAAAATAACAACTAGGAAGATTAATCTATCCAGAGCAAAACTAAAACACATGTTCTTTTAATTCATTGCACGCAAACAAATGATTTGTGTTCATTGTTTGGAATTATTTGTTCTTCCCCCAATTAATAGAAATCATCCCTGAATGAGTATAAAAGCAAAATGGTTTTTCCCTTAATAAGGTCCAGTTTTTAATTTAGGGGTGATAGAGTTAGCTTTTTTTATAGGTGTTATGCCTCTGTTTTATACTCACCTTTTGAGATTTGAATAATAGTGATGTAGCCATTTTTGTAGATAAAGTAAATGTTTGAGGGAGGGAGGAGTGAAATTCATTTCTGACATTCTGGGCCACATATATTAGGAACTCATTCTTCAGTTCAGCTTCCTTGGAGTTTGAGTTATTCATTTCAACTCAGGGCAGCAATCAGATGTGTTAGAATAAAAGAATAGGAATATCTCCCTCCCTTTATCCCTACTGTGCTATTACTGTGTAGCCATTGAACATGTTTTCATTAAATCCAGAATAGAAGATTGCCTAAACCTGGCTGATTCTGTCAATAAATCTGTTCCTTCAACAGTATGAGACAGCTTTTAACAGTGAGAACAGCAGTGCCCTGCAGCAGCTGGCCTACCACACTGTGAACCGCCGATACCGGGAATTCTTGAACCTGCAGACCCGCCTGGAGGAGAAACCAGAGCTACGAAAGTTCATCAAAAGTTAGGAATTGCTAACTTTTTTCCCTGACTGGCTGCTTGCTTTTCACATCTAGCCACCCTAATCTGAATGATTGGTAGCCTATGGGTTTGTGGAGAGGATAACGCAGCATTGATGTTCTTCCCCAAATTTGCCTTGAAAGTTTGAGGGTTTTGTGCTAGACAGCTCTGATTACATTCTTTCTAAGGTAGTCCTTTGCTGCTAAATGCACTCAAATTTCTATCTGTGCCCATAAGATAGAGTGAGACATTATAACTTTTCCAGAAAAATAGATTATTCACTTTTAAATATTAAAATATTATACAGAAATTCATGTCACTTCCTTTCCTTTAACAACCAGGCCTTTTGTGTGCTGTTTGACACTTCCAAGGCCCAGAGAAAATAAAGAAGTGTAATAAAACTCAACTATAAATATGAGCTAGTCACTGGTTACTTTGTTTTTTAAAAAAATGCTGATTCTGGTCCAAATAAATATTTTAATAACTATGGGCATAATTGTTTATTTTCTTTCTTAGTAACAATAGTTAATACTGAGTCAAGCTTGAATACATGGGTCAGGTTCTCTTGTTAGTTAATTTAATCCTCTTAATAGCCTATGAGATAGATAATATCATCTCCCTTTTATAGAAAAAAGACAAAGTTACAGAAAGATTATGCAATTTTCCTACAGTCATCATTATACTAGGGATTGGAGCCACAAAACTGATCAGTTGGACTTCAAAGCCCTCTCTTCTAACTATATCAATTGGTCTCTTTATATTAGTAGTGGGAGTAGATTCTGTATATTACATCCTGGGAGCATATTTGGAACTCCTGAAATTAAAAAAAAAAAAAAAAAAGTCAGAAAAAATATATTCAATAACTGTTTTATATAGGGTAACTCTCTAAGAATGTTAAATGAAGGAGGTATTTTTGTTTTATTTTGGAGATGTGAAAGGTCCTAAAAAGCTCTTTCCAGATCTTCCATTTGGCAATATGGATAGTGACAGAGTGGAAGCCCGAAAGAGCCTTCTGGAATCATTCCTCAAGGTTAGCATCTTTTTTGTCTTTGCCCTCATTCTGATTCCTGCCCACCCAAGCCAAGGCAGAGAGACCTAGGAACTGGGATTTCTCTTTAAAAATCATTCTGTCTTAATTTTGCAGCAACTCTGTGCCATTCCTGAAATCGCTAACAGTGAAGAGGTGCAGGAATTTCTTGCTCTGAACACAGATGCTCGAATTGCCTTTGTCAAGAAACCACTCATGGTCTCCAGAATAGATAAGGTACTAGCAAAGCTGCTATACTCAGCTTTCATTTCTCTCTGCAGATGTGGAGTGTTCATCAGAACAGAGGCAGTATCTGAAAAATAAGAGAGGTAGGGTATAGGGCAAGGTGGCACAGAGGAGTCAGTAGAACATTGACTAGAATTTTTAAGACTGTTGCCAAATATTGGTTGGATCATCAACTTGCCAAATCACAGTGAGCAGCTATTAGGTGATAGTAGCCCTGACTCTAAGTGTACACACATCTCCTGGGGAAACGTTGATTGTTCCTGCAGTAGAGGCATGTAAGGATCAAGTGAAGATCCATGGATAATTGCAGGGATTCTCTTCTTGTGGGAAAGGTCATTCCTAGTGTGGTCATCAGGAAAGAGAGCTCCAAGGCAGGACATTGACCTGGATTTCAGTTGATGTTGTGATTTTCTGAAGGAAAACAGAGTATTCAGAGAACTGTACTTATTCAAGAGGGTCCCTCAGCTCCCATGGAGAAGGAAATCTGGAATACTTAAAAACTTATAAGCTATGATTACCAGCTGTTATCACGGTCTGCAGGACAAAAGCCTGAGATTTATGTTCATCAGAAGATGGTTTGTTTAAAATGTCTCATTGGCAGAAGAAGGGCTTCTCTCTTCTCACCTAGGCTTGGGAGCACAAAATAAAATGGAATTTCATGTGGTAGGTGCCAGAGGACATCCACTGCTATGTGGGATAAACCACAGACAACAAAGGGATCATCTAACTAAATCTCCCAGAGTTCCATATAGATATATTCATTCATTGATTCTTTCAACATCTTACTAGATGCCTGTTTTGAGTCAGGCAGTGTTCCAATTGCTAGTGATGCAAAAGTGGATGAGACAGATTAGGACCCTCCTACAGACTATAGTTCTTGAGCTTAGAGAGCAAGTTGTATTTCCTGAGCTACATTATCTATCTTCATGCTGTCCTCTGTGTTCCTTCCCTGGCTTGTTCTCTACTCTCCACTGTAGCCTTCTTGTCTATTCGACCTTGTCTTAGCTGTACTGTGCTCCTTGTGCAGGATCGTTCAAGAATGTCTCGAAGAAGGCATATGCTGTTCCCACAGTGTTAAAGAACAAGAGACACCAAGGAAAAGAAACTGTTTCCTTCCTTGTCATAAAAATTTCAGGATTTTGGTTTTTTGTATGTCTTCTTTAGTAAATATATGTTTGTCATTTTCCCATTCTGAGAAATAGAGATAATTCTTCATTGGAAATTATTTGGTTTTCTTTATGGCTGGAAAATATTATATCAACTCTAGATTTCTTAATTTTGATCCCAGTGATTTTCATTCTTTCTTTACTGTTAGAAATTGTTTAACTCAACTACAAAAAAAAAAAAAAAAAATTCTTTGGTCTGTGTGAATTACCCAAAGCATGTTTATATTATTTATGTCCCTAGACTGTATTTTTTATTTCTGATCATCTTTTTCATTCTTCTTTTTTTTCCTTATACTTATATTACTTCCACTGTTCCATCTTATTGAAGGCTATATCAATTTAGAAACTAGAAACCACCTTTTTATATAAAAAGGAAGTCACCAACCTGCAGAACTCCTAGGTTTTTATTTACCCCACTGTTTGTTTTGGCTTCTTTCCCTATGGCATTGTTTGTCTTATTCTGCAAGGAAAAGGATATTGATGGTCATAGAGAAAAGGGAGGATTGTTTTCATTGGTGGGTATTTGGCTTTCCTAATGGATGAGGCTCTGCTAGATAGCCTGGCTCTCTACTCATCTTATTGCGTAAGGCACAATGAGCTGACTTCTTTTCTGTTTGGCATTTTCCATCTGGGGATGTAAATGGTTGTACTAACTCTGCACCTCTGACCCCTGCAGATGGTGGTGAATGCTATTGTGGATACCTTGAAGACAGCATTTCCTCGCTCTGAACCCCAGAGCCCCACAGAGGAGCTGAGTGAGGCCGAGAACGAAAGCAAGTCCCAGACAGAAGGCAAGAAGGCTAGCAAGTAAGAACCTTCGGTGGCCCAGAGACCCTTCCCCCAGTTATCAGGTTGATCCTCAATCTTCAACCAAAGCCTACCTCATTCTCAAGCCCTAGAAAGGAGGAGGAAGAGGAGGTGGGGCACACATAAAAATTTTTAGGCAAAGCCAGACTCTGAGCTACTTAGCACTCCCCTAGAGCAGGAACCCAGCACTCAGCTGACCAAGGATTTTTTTTTTTTTTTTAACTAGAAGGAATACTGTAGACTATGGATAGTCTCTTTTCTATCTTCTGAAAATTTGAGGTATTTCTTTCCTATTAAGAATTAAGGCTCATAACTCATTTCTGCTGTCATTTCTGGTAATCTTGGCTCAGAAATTTCATATACTAACAATAAACAAGAAAAGGGTAGAATAGAAACCTGCAGGGTCTATTTTAGTAACTGGTTGAATGCTACTGCATCCTGCACTAGAGTCCCAGTTGTTCCTTGGCATCACTCCACACCAACATGTAGAAGGCAAGGGTACCACACTTAACCTTACTGGAAATTTCATCTGAATATGGGCCCATAGGGAAAGAGAAAGTATGTATGTATGTGCGTGTCTGACTGCCATTGTCTTTGTGTTCATGTTAAAATCCAGCAATGCCAGACTCACAATAGTTAGCCTTTTTAAATTGACCCATATTTTATAAGATGACCATTGTGCCTGTGCTTATTTGTTCTCTGTCTCTTGAAACATTGAGATTTATCACTTGGCAATCCCTTCTCTGATTTTATTTGGAATACAAAGGGAATAAATGGTTGTCCAAAAAGGGTACCCACAAAAAAAAGAGTATCTAGAATTTTCCCTTAGTCTCTTTTTTTGTCTGTTTAGCCTTCAACAAATTTGTAATTTATGCATAGTATGTGCACTATTTATGAAGAAATGCCAGAATATATATTGTTTGGAAGATTTCAGGGCCAAATCTTTCCTGGCAACTCTGAGTACCATAAGCCCCTAAGAATAAGTATGGGTTTTTGTTTTTTTTTTAATTTTGTTTTTTTTTATGTATTATCAATTCTGGCCAGCTCTTTGTATGGAAATAAAGACCACAAACTATATTCTGTTTCTGCCCTTGATTGCTGTACTAGGTCCAGACTGAGGTTCTCATCCAGCAAAATTTCTCCAGCACTGAGTGTGAATGAAGTACATGAAAAGATTCTCTATTGTCTCCAGGAGCGCAATGTGGTAAGACCCAAAGCCCAGAGGACTGTAGGAATCAAGACCCAGGGTGTTGATTCTATTGTTATAGGTAATCGAAACATTCTCTCAAGTCAGGAAGAACTGAAGTGTCTTGCCAAGAACTTAACTAACATCCGGGTCTCACATTTAAAAGTATTTTCTCTGAGTGCTTTTGAATTCTAATTGTTGTGGGTTGGCAGGTTGGCTTCTTAAGGTAGTGGGTTCAGAATTAAGAATGACAGGATGAGAAGAAAAACCAGAGAACAGATGACCAAGAATGTGTGCAAAAGTGATAATCCCAGGGAAGCTTGAAATTTGGGTTAAAAAAAAAAAAAAAGAAACTTTTATAGACTGGCCTTAGGGTCAGTGGGTTCTATACTCATGGTACTTTGGTAGAGTCTCCAGAGTCTGCATAAAAATTTTAGGGAAACCTATAGTGCTGCATTTACTTCTGTACTTTCTGCATTATGTCATATGCCACTGGCTGTTTCTTCAGGAGTCAGAGATCCTATCCATGTCTGGGATGGAATCCTTTATTGAAAAGCAGACAAAGTTACTGGAAATGCAGCCAACAGAAGTCCCAGTAAAAGATCCAGAACAAATCTCCAAAGACTATGTGGATGATTGCTTGTCAGGTACAACCATGCTATCCCAGGACCTCAGCAGCAGTGATGCAGGTAAATGGAAAGGTCTCTATTCCTACAGAGAAGGGAGCCATAAGAACTTGGGATAGGTGCACTTTGTAGCTTTAATATCTTTTGTCTTTAACTGAGCAAGCCACATGTTGAACTCCAGTGTAGAGTAGAACACAGTCCCTAAAGCCAAGTCAAATAGTGAAGTCAGGCCCAGACACAGGGAGTTGTAACCCAGCAGAAGATCCATGTGTATAATATCTTACTTAAAATATTTTTAACATACTCTGGTACATGGAACCACTGTCTTTATCTAGAATTTTCCCTCCGTGTCTGTGATACCACTTTTCTGGTTTTCTTTCCCTCTCCCTGTGGTCCCTTTTGGGCCCACTTTTTTGTTTTCCCCACCAACCCTCTGTAGCCTTGGTTTGGGCTCTCTGTTCTTCCCCTCATGCTGTCCCTAGGTAATCCCAACTGTACTGTTGGTTTCTACTCTCATACATATGCCAATAATGCCTAAATGTTGGATATTATACACCTCCATGTGAACAGACCACAGAGCAGCGGAAATACAGTATGTTCAAGATAGAATTCATCTTTCTTCCTAAATCTGTCCCTTCTGTATTTACTGCCATGACAAATGATACTACATTGTTTCCTAGGCCAGAGAAGGGAAAGAGAAGAGGTTAGGTTCACTTCCCCTTTATATCCTTTGAGGCAGGACTGGTTTGCTTCCCAGGAGAAGAAAGGCAGATGCATTCTACAAAGGAAGAATTGGAGCCTTGGATATTAATTAGTATTTGCTGAAATAGAACTTAAAAGAAAAAAGTACATCAATTCCACCAAGAAAAAGACCTCTGGTGAGAACAAAAAGATCACAAAATCTTGGGTTCAGAAGGAAAAAAGCCAATTTTACTGTTGTCTTTCAGGTTACCATGAACAAATCACCTTACCTCTGCTCTATGAACTTCAATTTAAATATGTGGAAAAGGGGTTTTAAAATCCCACCCCTTCACATGTATCTCATTGGTTAGATAAATGAAGTAGTATGACAGTAAAAGCATCAGAAAACTCTAAAAAATTACAGATAAAAGGGATAGGTGAAACAATACAATTCTTCTTTTGTAGAATGCATCTGCCTTTCTTCTCCAAATCAACCCTGTAAATTTTGAATATTTTTAAATGGATAGTTTATACCTGAGCTTTTCTTCTTTAGCTCTGACAGACTCGAAAGTGTTCATATGATAGAAAACGTATCATTTTCTTCCAGAGGACTTGGCAGTACCTTGTTCGCCTTATTGTTTTTTACTGCTATGACTGAGTGTTACCACATGGTGGCAGCTTCAAGCAAATAGAAAAACTGAGAGAGTAAAAGTAATTAGATAGAGGAGAATTCTATTTCCCAGGAATTGGAATAGCCCATCTTTCAGATAAAAGGGATGGGTGAAACAATATAACTCTAGCCCAAATCAACCCTATAAATTTTGAATATAGTATTTTTAAATGGATAGTTTATACCTGAGCTTTTCTAGCTTTTAGCTAGTCAGAAAGCAGTTCATCAGCCAAATGCCCATTAGAAATATAATTTAGAAAAAGAAAGTATGTATTAGATGGCCTTTAGAGGGAAGTGGGTTTCAATTCTAGCAGATCTATCCAAATCACTTATATTCTTTTTTTATTGATACATTATAATTATACATAACAGTGGAATTCATAATGCAATATATATACATGCACATAATAATTTGATTGATCTCACTTCCCAGTACCTTTCCTTTCCATCTTTTCTCTTCCTCTGATTCATTTTCTCTATTTTATCTCTATATTATGATGATATTCATGATGATTATGATTATGTACATAAGCAGATTCATTGTGATATATTCATACATGGACAGAATAATTTAGTAGATTTCATTCCCCAAAATTCCCTATGCCCTTCCGTTCTCCCTCCCTCTCAATCCTCTTCCTCTACTTTATTGGTTTCCCTTCTGTTTTTGTGAGATATTGCCTTTTTTTTTTTCATGTCTAGAGGACCCTTAAATGAGGTGAGCTTAGGCAAGTCTAGTTAGTCCTAGACTAACAAAGTTATTGTTGATGATTAATTATAATATTAAATACAACAATAGCACCAGAAACCTCATATTTCCTATGGAATATTATGTGTTCCTAGGAAATCTCCAGAAAGCAAATCAAAAGTGATGTCCCCGCACCACACAAAGGTTTAGAAAATGGATGTTTCGCTCCATAAAATACATGTGTTTGGAAACTCCAGGTTAGCATGAGTGTAGGCTCATTTGTGGCCCTTCCAGAAGTCTTCAAAACAGGGAAGAAATCAGTAAATGTCATGGCACTTTACCAGAGGTGTGGAGCTCTTCCTAGAACCACATGTTATCTTAGAATCAAACTGGAGCCTCCTGAATCTCAACCCCACAGCTCTGTGTAATGGAGATGCTGTCAAAACAAGGCTTTGCAGGAGAATGAAGCCCAAATCTTTCCCCAGTTCTGCCCACAACATTTCCATGATGAATTGTGGGGGCGAGTGGAAGGCAAGGAAGAGACAAAGCTTTGCCAGTTCCAGTTAGTCACCAATTGTGAGCTCTTACTTGGAACAAGATGAATTCAGCAACCTGGGGAAATAAAGGAGAAACAGAAGCTAGGTAGGTAAAATAAAATATATGTAAAATCTTTTTAAAAAGTAAGAACACTTATTCATTAACCGAAGAATTGTAAATACATACAGAGCCTATCACTGAACTTTCTAGGTATGAAGTACGTGTCTCTTTGTTTCAGTGCAGAGGGATTAAAAAGTAAAGTCCAAGATGATGGATATGAAGCTAGAGAAGACCCCAGTGCCACCAGTGCATTAAATACATTCCTCAATTGGGGGTTTCTTCTTATTTACTTTTATGCCTTTTTGTCCCTCAGGAACAGAAACAGAGTTAGCTGACACAGCCCTGGATCTAATCCTCTTGCTGTTAATGAAACAGTGGAAATGGCTATGTACTGAAAACATGCAGAAATTTCTTCATCTTATCTTTGGGACCCTAATTCAAAGGTAAGGTTTCTAAGTTCTCCTTCATGTCAGGTTCTCAAATTGCATGGAAATTGGACACAATGGTGACTTCTGTACTTGGAAGGGTAAGTGTGTAGAGTCCAGGAAAACTGTGGCCATAAGAAAAGGTAGGCTGTCTGCTACAGGGCAGGGATGAATATTGCCAGAAGACTATCAGAAAGCCCCAGCCCCAACACCACTGCCTGTGATCTTAATAGACTTTTGTTTAACTCTGTCTTCTCTGGGATCTATTCTCCTTTTATGTCCCCAGACCTGGAGTCACTGTGATGATTAACTATTTTAAAAAAAATGGAGAAAACAGATCATTGTTGTTGATATAAAGCTCTTCCCTCACTAACGATGATGAAATATCCTTCCCAAAATGTTTGTAGGCTTAGATTGAGAAACCCTGCCCTAGACTAGAAACCCTGCCCTAGACCAGAACTAGTTTTGTATCCCCAGCAACTTACACAAGGACGGGGGCATAGTGGATTCATTAAATATTTGATAAAAGAAAAAACATTACTCTTCTCAATATCTTTATACTTAAAAATATAGTTTCCTAATGTTTTATTCAGTCCCCTATGACTCTTGCTAATTAGGCCTCCATGTCTCTTCTTTCTCTGTCAGACTTTCTTTTGCTTATCTTCCAAATATTTTTTAAAAATGTAAAGATCCTACAAATAAATAATATGTGATTTTTTATAACACCCCTTCCCCTGTAGTCATTTACTTGATGGATTAATTTCAGAACACAAGAAATTGTTCAGTAGGAGTTTAAAAGTATAGGTGAAAGGGCTCTGAGGAGCTGCGTATCCACAGATCTACGGTTAATTCGTGCAAGATAAGGGCCACAGATCCTGCCTGGTCTCCTGTGGTGACCCCACTCTCATCCCAGTCAGTCCCTATGTACTGGAAACCTGGCCACACCCTTCCTGTTCCAAGTCACTGGTGGGCCATTGCCCTTTACTCCCTCTACCCTCCTGAGGGTCTTCCCATTCTCCCTGTCACCTCAGGGAAGCCCCCAGCCATCTGCTTCCCACTTCGCTTCATAGCATCTGGGCCTTTCTAACTTGCTGATTGCTTAGTTGTCCTCTGCTGACTGAACACCAGGGGCAAGCAAGACCATATTTGCTTTGTGGATTGTTATGTTGTCCTGCTTATTTCCATGCATAACACATAGTAGGTGCCCGATAAATGTGTGTAAAAGGAAAAAAAAAGTATAGGTGCATCAGCAGAGACTTAGAAAAGATTAAGATCTATATTTAAAAGGTAGGGGAAAATTTGCCTAAAAGTTTGAGTAGCTCAGAAAATGAAATGGCTTGGGCCAGTCCAGATAAAAAAGAGAGAGAGAACTAGATCCTGAGAATTAACAGTAAGATCATGGAAGAACTGATATCTCACATAGAGAGGATCCTTGGAAATCTAAGCAGGAAAGTTAAATACAAGGGAAGTAAGTCCCAAGGGGTATAGTAGACATGGGATAGACTTTCAGTAGTCAAACATAGGCTGAGAAACTTCTAAGCCAGGTTGCAGACCCTTAGTGGGGAGTGTGTAGGATTAAAGAAATAATAGTTGTGTTTCCTAGTCTGAACTCTTTCTCGGCTTAATGGTACAAGATTTTGCCAGGCGGTTTTGTGGCATTTGTCCCACTTTACCTTTAAATGCTTCTGTCTCTCTTTATACAACTGGAGATTGATTTTGGTCTTGCTTCTTTGTTCACAGGGGAAAAAAATGTATATTACCAAAAGCTGGTCAATAGTGAACAAAATAGGCATGATCCCTACTTTATTATATTTTAATAAATTTAAATTTAAAGAGGTTGAGTGCTGAAATTCAGGGCCACACAATCACAAAGCTAATGGGTGGTAGGGCCACCATTCAAACCAAGCTGCTCAAAAGCCCAAGTTCTTATCTACTCCAGTAAGCTATTATTCTATAATTAAATTTTCTGAACTTTGGTTTCCTCATCTGGAAAACAGAATTAACAATGCTATCTCAAGATGTCCAGTAAACGATAGTTCTTAATATTTGCTCTTCAGAAAAGAAGAATAATAAAACATATTTTGTTTCTAATGCCTTCAACTAGTAGCTGAAAATTAGCTTCACTTTTTATGTCTTCTAGATACATCACCCCATACCAGTCTCCTTCTGCCAGTTACCACCATCCCTTTTGTGCCCATCTCTCTGAGCCACACAGAGTTGGGCTTCTAAATAATGAAGGCTTTATGAGGTCTTTCAAAGTCATTTTGTGCCAGTGGTCTCATTTGTTAAAGCAACAACCACAGCACTCCCAGTCTTACATTAGGAAGCAGAACACCTGGGCTCCTGTCCAGTACCGACAAGCACATGTGAAGTACATAGTTCCATAGTGTTTTCCAGGTTTCCTGGTGTTCCTGGTGACCTGGGTGGGGAGAACTACTGAAATCTGTTCTAATAGGAAAGCTTTGGAATCAAGCTAAGTTCTTCACCTTTCTGTCCCCATCCCTTGACACTTCTGCTAGATCCAGTTAGCTAGATAGATACACAGTTGGTAAATGAAAACTATCAAAACCTTTATGCAACTCATGCTATAAATTATATCAAAGAGAGGGCTTGCTCCTGAATTTTTCTTGATTTGCTCTTCACTTTTCATTCCTGGTTTTCTTTTCTGTTTTCTTATGGAATGCCATCACTATTTAGAAAGACAGGAAATTGTTAATGTATTTGTAAATATTGTACAAGAACAGAAATTTGTGGCTGCTTTTGAAAACCTTGTTGTATCTATAGACTGTTAAACATGGTCATGAAAGGTATTTCTAAATAATTGTATTTTGTAACCTGTTTAGGTATATCTCTTCCAGCCCCAAAAGTTCTTATTTATATCTAGTCAAACTTTATCCTTAGCCCATTTCATTTTCTGTTAGCTACAAGGAAACAGAACTATAGCTAGCTGGCACTCTCCTCATCCTGTGCTTTCATAGACAAGAATCTCATCCTTCCCCTTTCAAGATCTTCTGTCTTCCCTTGTAAATCCCTATTCACTCTACATTTTTGATCCTCTTCTCAAGAATCTTGTGCTGGTTTGACAGTGTTCCAGAAGCCTCCTTTAGATAGGAAGTAATAAGTCATGGTGTCTGAAGAAAGAACCAATTCCCTCTCCAGAAGCCCAAGGATTTGCCCTTCATGGCCATTGTCTCATACCAACAAGTCCCTGGATATATGGTAGACATGGAAAAGATGGGCCTTACTTCTAAATTCAGAGTGTAGAGATTGATCATCTCATCAGCAAGGTATTTACTATCCTGTAAGCTTTTGTTGAGAGTCTTATTTCACACAAACATTGGGCTAAACATTTCAAACATATTCTATCATTTAATCTCTTTAAGAGCCATATGGAACAGGTATTATGAATCCTACTTCTAACATGGGGAAAACTACGATTTACAAAGAATTTGTATTATTACATCAAGATGACAGGTCAAAATAGCACACATAAAATTTCAACCCAGTTTTTTCTAATTTTTAGCTATAATGATTCTTTAATTTTCAGGATCAGAACCTTTGCCCTATAATTTGAAGGATAAGGCCAACCCAAAAATCTTTCACTCTGAGTAGCAAACATTCCCCAAGAAGAGATTATCAGATAGTTTATAGAATACAAATTATATCTCACATGTAACAAAAAGAACACTGTTCCCTCCTAAAGTCAGCCTGTATTACTGTTCCCTGGGCAGCTTGCAGTTTTTATTTTTAAAAAGTAGTTTACGTAGTCCTTTATTTGCTTTAGTAAGCAAATAAGCCTGGAACTTGATATCTAGAGCTACAGCACCCTCCCCTCTGCACCTACCCTGACCACCCCCCCACAAGAGGTGTGATATGAGGTCCCAGTGTCCCCAGTGTCCCCATGACTGCCATCCAGGAGGCCACATGTTTGTTCTCTCTGAAAACACAGTTAGCTAAGCCATGTCCTTTTGAAGGGTACTAGGTTTCTCTTCCTTTAAATTCTGTGATTTAAGGAGCAGTAATATCTTGTGTCAGTACCTCAGGTGAATGCGTCCACTTCGCTAATTATCATAAACACACAGCAGTTTGGGCATCAGGAATAATACAGCCACCTGGATTTAGATGTATCTCCTCCTTAAAACAGCCTCATTCTCCAACCTCACATTATTTCCAAGCAGACAAGTTTATTCTGCTTCCAGCTTTCTTTACTCTCCCTGCTCCCTTAAAAGACCTATATATATAGCTCCCTTGGACTCCAGGGACTTCTGCCAAATTATAAGCATATTCTCTCCTTAGCCTACAAGGCAGGAAAAAAAAAAAAAAAAAGACAGAGTAAATTTAACCTCATGACCCCTCTTTCCAAGCGAAAGTTGGAGGAGTTCTGTTCTGAGCCAGACTTATAAATCTCTCTTGATTGTTGATGGTGTGGAGAGAGTAAGGGAGGGGAGCTCAAGAGAAGTTAGATGCCCAAAAAAGGCATTGTTAAGTCAAAGGGAAGTGTTGCACGCATGCGCTCCTGACCTCGTATGTCAGCTTCTGTGCTGGGAAGGTCCAATTATGTAACAAGGAGTGCTCCTTATTTGGCAGGGGAAGGGGTGTGGGGGTAGCAAACTAAGCCAAGGAGCAAATCCAGCTTGTGCGAACTCTGCTCATGTCCGAAAACAGAAGAAACTTGACAGTATTCCTATATGCATCAAAATCAGGCTTAGGGAATTGGAAAAGTACTCAGAACTAGCCTGGGTTAAAGGGAAGGAAGAGAGATGTACTGTGCTCCATTGATGATAAAAGGTTTGGGGCAAGAAGATCCAGCCAAGGTAAGGGGTGAGATTATTTTGGAGTCTGATGTAGAGTAAAGGAATGAGAAGAAGTTGGACCAGCTCCCTGCCTAGATGCCCAGAGCCATGCCATGATAAAAATAGGAGCCAGGCCAGCAGTAGAGTACGTGAATGCCACGTCCAGGGCTCTGCCCTCCCCATGGCCCTGAAGATGGTATCAGACCCTGTGTCAAAAGGGCAGCA